TCTCTCTCTCTCTCTCTCACACACACACACACAGCCCTAGAGATAAGCATGCTGCGCAGGGCAGCACCCTGCCGCTCCCTGGGCACCCACAGAGCACAGTCCCCTGGAGTGAGTAACACACGGGCTGGTGGTACCGAAGCGTGTGCTGGGGACTCGGTACACCGGTTCCAGCGCTGGCCAGCCTGCTGGTCAGCTGGTCAGTGGCCTAGCCACTCCACATCCCCCTCTGGGGCTTATCTTCCTTTTGCTCGTTTTGTTCAGTTCTCAGGGCCCAAGTAAGCATCCTCTGTAGAAGGTTCTGGAGGAGTGGGTGCCCCCGCGCCCCAGACCTGTAACCTAGGGCCGGCCTGGCCTTTGAGCCACTTGGTTCTGGTCCTGCCCACACCCTGCTAGGCCCATCCCTCCCACGCCCTGGCCAAGGGCAGCCTGGACGAGTGAAGGGCGGCTGAGGACAGACAGGCCTGCTCCCCGGGGGCAGCCAGCCACGTTTGCCTTCTTTGGTTGTCACCGGCGACCGGCTGCCACCCCTGCAGACAGGCTTGTGCTGACAGAGCCCCACAGCTGCGGCCACACATGTGCCCGGCCGTCAGCCGGGACAGGCGGGGGAGGGGCGTGGCGGGGGAGGGGCAGCGCTGCAGCTGGGGACAGCAGGTGCCGTGGCCTGGACGGCTTCTGTGTGCGGGCTGCTCCCAGCCGGGACCCTTCCTGTGGGCGGTGCGGGCGGCGCGGGGCAGCTCTTCTCTGCTCCGGGACGGGGGAGCGGGGTGGGTGGGGTCTGTGCTGTATAGTGTGGAATGCACGGTGCCACCTTCGCGCACGCGCAGGGCCTGGCAGCCTGGGCCTGTCCGTGTTTGCAGGGTGGGAGGAACGGAGGGGTGGCACCCACAGTTAGTAGTGGCCCCAGTCACAGAGACCCCGACGTTGCATTCCCCTCCTCCGTTCCCCCTGGACACTGAGCCATACGGTTTACTGCAGGCGGATGATGTCCCCGCCCAGCCCCACGCCGGCTGACCCTGACCGTGCAGCGGGGACCCCCCAGGGCTCGCAGTACCTCTCCCTGCACAGAATGCCTGGGCAGGCTCCGGAGCAGGCCTGTGGCCCGGAGCGGCCTGGCTGGCTCTGTGCCGCCCGGTCCTGGCTCTGCCCTGGCCGCTGTCATCTCCTTACCCCTCTCCAGTCGCCTGACCTGGAGCAGAGCTTCTGGGAGTTTGGGGTCTGGCTTAACGGCCATTGGCCTGTGGCCACACTTCAGGGGCCGGGCCTGGAACCCCTAAAATCCACACCCCTCCCTCTGGAGTTGTGCAGGTCACAGCCCAAGTGGTTAAACTACAGGTTCTCAGACATGGTGCTGTGGCTTAAGTGGTAGACCACTTGCCTTGAGCTGAAGAGCTCACGGGACAGCACCCAGGCTCAGAGTTCAAGCCCCACAACCGACAAAACAACAACAACAACAAAAAGTAAAATAAAATAAAATACAGGTTCTCTGGGTCATGGCTCAATGGTAGAGTGCCTTCCCCGAGCTTAAACCTCAGTACTGTCCAAAATGCAGCTTCCAGTGCCCAGGGCCAGCTCCTGCCCTCCCCCAACAGGGGGCGCTGTCAGCCTGACCATGGAGGTGCAGACTCTCCCCAGACCCGAGGGGCCGGGCCTCCGGGGAGCGCTCCCTGTTCGGCAGAACACCAGCTGGGGTGAAGGGCCCCCGGCCTGCCTGACCCCCACCCCGCCCC